GAGGCTGAGGGTTATGAATGTCTCATCTATTGATATTCCCTCAGCAGCAATTTCATAGCAAATGAGCTGATACGCTTCCACCTGATCCATGATGGGTTTTGAATCCACCATTTTGAAGTCATGAAATTTTGCAACTACATACTTCTGGCAGCCAGCGTCTTCACCTCTATACTTCTTGTCCAGCGATTTCCAGAGCTCTTTAGCCGTTGGAATCTCACAGTAGACTTGGTACAATGGATCAATGAGACGACCCAAAATGTAGCCTTTGGAGATGAAATCCGAATGCACCCAACTTTCAACACTTGAGAAGATGTGCATATCGTCAATCCCGTGAGGGATAATGGGCTTATCTTCCTCGATGAATTTGTCCAACTTGCACAAACTGAGGAAGAACAGCATCTGCTTCTGCCACGTTTTGAAGCCTTTGCCATCAAATATGTATGGCGTCATATTCTGAGAGATGACACCAGAAATAGCAGGAGGAGTCGCAACTGCAACCGGAACACTTGTGGATCCTTGAATTGGACCCGTTTGATAGAGACCAGCACCGAACAGGATACGGCGTGTGGTTTCATCAGGAATAGCACCCACTGGAAGGGTCGCATCGGTTGAAACAGCGTTCGTCACGCCGGTTGCAACAGGTGCTGTCGCGTTGAGTGGAGTCTGAGTGGCGAGGTCAATGGGGGTGTTATCATCGTCGTCATTTTTTTTGTCTGGGAGAAAATATGAAAACGGATCAGTACTCCATACAACCATTCAAATAACATCATATTATTTTAAGCAAAAATAATAGTGTGAAATCGATTTTCATTTTTGGTAATCTGAACCAAATCATATCAATAGAAGTCTGGAAAAACGTTTTGCAAACTCGCTTATAAGCGTTCGCAGAAACCGTTTAGTGTAGACTTGGAATGTTTCACAAATTCACTTAAGAAAGCATCTGTGAAAACGATTCATACATAAACGTTTTGAAAGAAACAAGTATCTAAAAACGTTTCGCAGATGATGCTATAAGCAAACCGCAAATCGTTTTTGAGATAAGTAAGAAACGTTTCGCGGAAATGATAAAAACCAAATGGCAAACAGCGTTTCGAAGACCGTTTCGCGGAAGTGCTATAGAGCAAACCGCAAACACGTATAGTAGACAGATAATAAACGTAAAACGTTTCGTGGAAGTGCTATAGAGCAAATCGCAAACACGATTCCAGAACCCGTTTCTATACATCGCTTTTTTCAATCCGATTAAAGCTTTAGACAGAAAGCGATTAAGAGTTAAGATTGTAAAAGCCGGAAAACCGGATCGACATGAACGATATAAGAAAGACGGAGTTAAGGAAATAAACGATTATATAAGACATGGAGGCGAGATAAATCTCTTTCCTTAACTCTTAATATTCGCTCCGTAGTGAGACGAAACTATACGAATATTGAGTCCCAGGATACAACCATGGAAGACGAATCACGCTTCACTCGTGAAACGACCTAACGAACTAAAAATTCTACGAACACTCTCTTTAGACTTACACTGAGAGATTGCTGTATTTTTTCTGTGTCCAAAAAAGTTAAGAATGGAGAAAGAGGAGAGACAATATTTAAAGAGAAGACGCGGAGCAACTTCCCGTAACGTGTGCTCGTTAGTGGGGATTTGGCAAAGATCTCGGGAAGTTTAAGTTACGAAAACTTATCCCCCAAGACTCGCTCTCGTTTTTAATAAATATCTGACGAGGAATAAACATCGTGACATTTATTTATTTGTTAGATAAACTACTTGTCGTTGTCAATAAAATTGCATGCTGTTTTTTTAAGTTTAAATGGCAAAGCGTTGAGCTTAATTTGGTCCAAAAAAAATAATAACTTCTTATCGAGTCAAAGGCCCAACAATAAAGCCCACGCCGGACAAACGGTGGCGGCGCCGCACGCGTAAGAAACCATCTCTCTGAGCTGTTTAAGCCTTTATAACACAAAGGGATATATATACTGCTCTCTAATGCTCTTACTGGTCGATGTGGGACAAACCCCAAAAACTGAGTTTTTCAGTTTTTGTCCACACCAACATACCAACTTAGAAGCTTCATCTCTTATTCAATTTTGATCTGTTTTTAAAGTGTGAATATACCACGTTGTAGTACTCGTTACAAGTTTTACAACGAGCTGCTGATCTAACCGGAACGACCACTGGCTTGGCCGGAAAAGTCGCCGGAAAATCAGAAACTATCAGCTTTAAAAAACAGAGTTCCAACATCCATATGTGATGTTACCATGAGACGTGAGGACTAACTGTCAAGATAGACAAAAAAGAGGATGGTAAACAAATAAGATGTCGCTGCGATTAGTTTCGTAAAGGTTTCCGGTGTCGTTCTTGACGCTATGAAAAGTAGCGGTGGTTATAATGATCGCTGCGATCACTTTTCATGGGCAAAACTACCGTTGCCGGCGTCGCTCTTCACACGCATGAGCAAGAGCAAGAAACAGTTATAAATTTGGCCGCTAGCCGCTGACGCAGCAACTAGGAAAAGAAGGGCTTCTGTATATAGAATGAGGCTTATGAGGACAAAACAGAGGATTGAGAAGGAACTCATCTGCTTCATTGTTCTTTAAGAGATTATAACTATTATATTTTTGTCTTAGTGTTTACACATAGATGCATGTTCTCGTTTCTTACTAACTTAAACAGCAATTAAATTTCGGTTTCTAATGTTGACTTCCTCAAACTGATAAGAGTGGTCTTTAAACCTGCCTACATGGTCATTAAATATACCAGGATTGGATCAAAACGTAGAGAAAACGTTGGTACTTGTACAAAGGTTGTTACAATTATATGAAGCATGTGCCACCAAGATTAAGACGTTCATAGACAAATAAAGTTATATAGAAAAACATAAGTGGGGAGGGAAAACAAATTAACCAAGTCTAAGATAGAGAAGGCCACAGGAATGATGGTTGTAATTAGGGATGTTAATATGGTAAAACCCACCCCATTTAAATCCACCCCATTTAGAACCCATATCCATTTAGACCCGTTTAAAAATAGGTCTATTAGGGCTACCCATTTAAATGTAGTTATTTTACTCTAATCCATTTAAACCTGTTTAGACCCATTTAAACTGTTGTTGACTTTTTATTCTAATTTTCTGTTTCCAATTAAAATTACTCTTTCCCGCCAAAACCGAGTAATTACGTTTTCCCGCCAAAACCAAGAAATTACGTTTTCCCGCCAAAACCGAGAAATTACGTTTTCCCGCAAAAACCGAGAAATTGCGTTTTCCCGCCAAAACCGAGAAATTACGTTTTCCCGCCAAAACCGAGAAATTACGTTTTCCCGCCAAAACCGAGAAATTACGTTTTCCCGCCAAAACCGAGAAATTACGTTTTCCCGCCAAAACCGAGAAATTATGTTTTCCCGCCAAAACCAAGAAATTACGTTTTCCCGCCAAAACCGAGAAATTACGTTTTCCCGCAAAAACCGAGAAATTGCGTTTTCCCGCCAAAACCGAGAAATTGCGTTTTCCCGCCAAAACCGAGAAATTACGTTTTTGGCGTAAAATCTAAATTTTGATTTTGGCGAGAAAAACTTTATTTTTGGTTTTGGCGAGAAAAAACAAATGGACTAAATTTAAGTTACTAAAAAATATAAATGGGTTAAACGGGTCCCCGATTATTTTAGACAAAACCCATTTAATAAATGGGTTTTAATAGGGTTATCCATTTAAAACCCGACTAGTTAAATGGGTCTAAATGGGCATTTATTTTTTCCAGAACCCATTTAAAACCCACGAAAATAAACCCATCTTAACATCCCTAGTTGTAATGTAATGGGAAGTTGGTCAATTGGTTGGATATATCAGAGCAACAACTATCAAAGACGAAAGAAGGACAAATACAATGATGACTCAATGGAGTATGAGAAATAAAAAAAAAAAGATATAATTTATATCATTTTTAAGGGGAGCAGACAACAGCAAGCAATGGGAGTCTATAGACACAAAAAAGAAACCTATAAATATGCCCAATACCTCTAGTTTCAACGAGGGTTAACACTAGTTATCGACGCATCATCGATGGAACAAGGAATAAAATTGTTGGCCTGACCATGTTGCAAATCCTCGGCTAATCGGTTGGGTCTCCCACTAAAGAAAAAACCAGGTGGTTGAGGCACAGGCAGAGTAATCGAAGTATTAGTGAGCATATGAAATATTGTCGACATGGCTGGCCGGTCTGCAGGATTTTCTTGAACGCACAATAACCCGATATGAGTGCATCTAATGACTTCATCTTCATCATAATTGTCTCCCATGGTCGCGTCTACAAGTTCCAACAATGATTTATTGTTCCAAAGCCTCCAAACCTGCAAGTGGTTTTTTCAAGAAAATAATATTCAGTGCTATGATAATAGTTTTTAAAGACAAAGAAAATTAGAGATTGCATTGGCATATTAGTTACTGACATATGTGACCAAGTTGCCTACTGAACCATCTATCTGGTGGAAGCTACTATTCCTTTTGCCAGCAACAATCTCCAGAATCAAGACTCCAAAACTATAAACATCAGTTTTCATCGAGAACTGACCATTTGCTACATACTCGGGAGGCATGTAACCGCTGCAATAAACAGCAGGTATCACTTTCAGTTTATCACAATATAAATTAGGACAAAAAGTGTAACTGAAATGGACAATTGTTTACAATGTTCCAACAATTCTTCCTGTATTGGCTTCAGTCTGGTCAACTCTGAAATTCCTTGCCATTCCAAAATCCGCGATTTTTGGGTTCATATCTGCATCTAAGAGAATGTTACTTGCTTTGAGATCACGATGTATGATTGTGAGTCGTGAATCTTGATGAAGATATAAAATTCCTCGAGTGATTCCTTCTATAATGTTTTGTCGTCTTGTCCAATCCAGTTGACCCCTTTTTACAGGGTCTACACATCCAATGTATAGAACCATTAGAGTTTATCTATGAGATCAGGAACAAAGATTAAGTGAATATATTGTTTCTTACCAAAGAGGAAGTAGTCGAGACTTTTATTGGGCACAAACTCGTAGACAAGTATCTTTTCTTCTCCTTCAACAGAAAAACCGAGAAGCCTAACCAGATTTCTATGTTGGAGTTTTGCTACAAGAAGCACCTCATTCTTAAACTCTTTCTCACCTTGACCAGAATTTTTAGACAGTCTCTTCACGGCAACTTCTGTTCCATTTGGGAACGTTCCCTGTGAATTCATTTGAGCTTTACACTATCAGAATTTATTTTCTTTTTATGGCACCTGAGTTTGTAACAAAAAAAAAAAGTAGTGGAGAAAGTGTAAGAACATTATGCCTTGTAAACTGAACCAAATCCACCATGACCAAGCTTGTTACCCTTATGGAAATTACTAGTAGCAGTTTCAATTTCTCTAAAATCGAATTCAAGTGAACCTGACGTTGTAATATCCCCTGCATCTGAAAGCATACATAGTGTAATGATAAAGAGCGTCCATAGCGCATTAACATTTTTAGCGCAAATAGCTGTAAATTGCCTTACCATCATCTTGTAGTGCAGTACCGTAGCTCGTTATTGGCCTCCCTGCAAGAAACAAATAATCATCTAAAGAACAGCAAAAGACATGAAAAATATAAATAAATTAACATAAATGTGTCTTTGTGCCAAATCATGAAGAACTCACTTTGAGTTGCAAATTTTTTGTATCCTTTTCTCCTCTTAAAAAGAACAAACCCTAGAGAAAGTAGTACACTGATCACAAATGCGAGAACAACGATGATTACGACAATTCCTGCACAAACCCAAATAGCAGGCGGCAGTGACACAAAGAAACATTAATCATCTAAGCTTTAAATATGTAATAGGCCTTTTTAAATCATTAAGGTAAACAGTAGATTACTTACTTTTCTTCTTGTTGTTAGTCTTGTTGCCTATCGAAGGTGGTAGAGAGACTGGGGGTTGATGTGGAGATAGAGGGGCCAAACCAATGGTAAAAGCCTGAGCGAAGGGATACATCTCCCACCTAAAAACGCAGCTGGGACGATAAACAATACCACCTTGGTGCCCCTGGCAACATGATTCAAAGTCGCTGACACATTGACTTAAGCAGATGCTGCAATCACTTAAAGATAATACCGGAACGCATTGCATTAACGCGTATATATTCTGGGAAGACGTAAATGGTACTGCTTCAGCTGCATAGTACTGCTGTTGAGAAGACCACGAAGTAGCACCAGATATCATTCGACTTGTTAAATCTCCCCACAGTCTATTAAACTTCGTTAAATTGGATCTGATATCTCCAGTATTGAAGTATATATACCTTGGTTTCATCTCTAGTGATCCGTAAAACGAACGGTTGGAGTAACGTACCATACAAAGAGTCCCATTTGCGGGCCAGGCGAGGCCTTCTGTCTGGTTAGGACAGTTCTTTATCATCTGTTTAGAAGCAAAGTCGATACAGTTGGAGCAAACCTTTGGATCAACACGTGAGATGCACATCCCCAGAGCATGCACCTCATCGTGGCCTTGGCCAATTGAATTATAGTAGAAGCTGTTTCGAGCCGAGACATTAGAAGCGAGATAAGACAGGACAAGGCGACGGTTTGAGTCATACTTGCTATTAGGTATAAAAGACCCATTTGTCCCACATTCTTGTGCAGACACCATAGGAAAGCCTACAAGGGAACACCAGAAGATTAGGAATAGAGTTTTCAATTTCATTTTGAAGATCATACAGAACTCGTTTGTTTGGGTTAGGACAACAATTATACATATGTTGTATGCCTTTCTTATTAAGCCCATTAAATTTGCATCGCAAAGTTATACTTGACCGTTGTTGGTCCTGTTGTCTTAGTCAATGTCTCTATTAAGTGGCTTCATGCAATTCGACAAAGATAACCGAGATTTTAGGAATCGACCATGTGTGCACATCTAAAATGGAACACGTTATATAACGCAACACTATCAAAGACTTCAACTCTTCTTAGTGTACTTTGACTAGTCATCCAGAAAAGCCAAAGTTTATATGTGCCAATATACAAAAAAAAACAGATAAACCTTCAAACAGATATACTAATCAATTTTGGCTTGACTCTGATATTAATTCAGTTTTCTTTTTTCATCAAAAAAAAAAAAGAAAACAGATAAGCCTTAGTAATATCCCTACTATATGTGCAAGGCAACAGCTGTGATAGTTACGAATACTTTAGTCGTAGGCTTGAAACACAAAGTATCTGGACATTGTTTGACCAGCCATGAGTATATAATCTGGAGCTACCTTACTCATTAATAAAAAATTCCAAAATCCATATTTAAGAAATCAAATTTCAAATTTACAATATCAAGGAAAATTACTAATCTAAGAAATACAACGCATGGGAGATTCAAGTCATAGCCCTCGAAAAGTGACTCCAGAAATATTTAAAAGGACATCAAGATTGATCTTCAACGAGGATTTAAATCACTAATGGTTTCATCGTTGATAGAGAAAGGACCAAATTTTCCAGTAGATTGTCCTGACTCCAAATCTACAGCTGATAAGTCCTGATCTCGTGTGCTTTGGAAAAAAAATCCAGGTTGGTGCGGCACTGGTAAGGTGATTGTGTTACTAGTGAGCATCAAGATGATCGTCGACAAAGTTGGACGATCCATAGGATTTTCTTGAACACATAACAATGCAATATGAATGCATCTGGCAACTTCACTGCTGTCACAACTCTTTCTAACAGATGGATCCACAAGCTCTAATGGTGAGCCATTTCTCCAAAGTTTCCATGCCTGCACAAGGAAGATCGATTAAATACCTTGAAATATAATTGTAGTCAAAAGAAGATTGTTATGATGTTTCTATTTATATACTTACATATGTGACCAAGTTGCTCCCCTTACTGTCTGTTTCGTGGAAGCTGCTATTCCTCTTGCCATTAACAATCTCCAAAACTAAGACCCCAAAGCTATATACATCAGATTTTGTGGAGTACTGGCCATGCATTGCATACTCAGGAGACATATAACCGCTGAAAACACAGAGTGAACTTGAGCATATATATATATGTAATCAAAGACTTAAAATCATATGATCTAAAAGAGAAAGAGAAATTACTATGTTCCAACTATTCTGCTTGTATTTTCAAGGGTTTGGTCAACCCCAATAATTCTGGCCATGCCAAAATCCGCAATTTTTGGGTTCATATCTGCATCTAAAAGAATGTTACTGGCTTTAAGGTCACGGTGTATAATTGTAAGCCGTGAATCTTGATGAAGATATAGAATTCCTCGAGCAATCCCTGAAATGATCTTGTATCTCATTGTCCAATCCAACTGACCTTGCTTTTCAAGATCTGTACATCCATGAAACTCATAAAGACAGGTTTCAAGAATGGCTATATCATAATGATTCCAATAAATATAATAATAGTAGTATTGACCGCAACATACCAAAAAGTAGATAATCGAGGCTCTTGTTAGGAACAAACTCGTAAACGAGAATCTTTTCTTCCGGCTCCAAACAAAACCCAAGAAGTCTAACGAGATTTCTATGTTGAAGCTTTGCTACCAGAACAGCCTCTGCCTTGAACTCCTGTGTACCTTGTCCTGATGTTTTGGACAGTCTCTTCACTGCAACTTCAGTTCCATTTGGAAGTATACCCTAATGGAGTGTAAAATTTCGGACCCATATTGATTCAAAGTTTTATTTAAATGAAGTTACGGAAACAAGAAATTGAACAAACTTAAGTATACCTTGTACACTTCACCAAATCCACCTTGACCTAGCCTGTTACTCCTCGAAAACTTATCTGTTGCAGCTTCAATAGTCTTAAAATCAAATTGTAATGAATGTGTAGTTGAGATATCATCACCAGCTGCACAGAAAAGTGAATTAATGTTAATTCTGAAATAAATTCTCTTCTCTTGTTGAGCTAGAAAAAGAGCAACCAAGTGAACAAAGGTGCATGGACATGGGATGAGCTAGATACCAACAATAAACTCACATTGAAAATCAACTTCTTTGTACGATTTTCTCCTCCGGTTAAAAACAAACGCAAGAGCGAGCAGCACCAAGACGATGACAATGGTCCCAGTCACAATTCCAACGATAGCTCCCACTGAAAGGGAATCGCCATCTACGCAGTCATAAGTCACCAAGTTAATAATATTTTTTTTTAATTATTCAAAAAAAAGTTAATAAGATTACACAAGTGATCGATAACATAAGTTTAACTAGATTTTGACCCAGGCTTAAAAACGCGGAAATTTTTTATGATTAAAAATTTATATAATTGGGTTTTGTCTTAATTTAAAGAATGTTTTGGTATAAAATTAGTTTACCAAAATTTGTGGTGATAGTTGTTTTTCATTAGTTTTTAGTTTCAATTTTTATTTTTAGATTATGTTTTAAATTTTGGTTTTTGGTTTTTAGTTTTTAAGTTTCTATTTTTTATTTTCAGCTTTTAGTTTGGGTTTTTAATTTATAGACCCGCTGAGTTAGTTTGAACTAATATTACCAGCAAACAAATCTCAATTAATTGAACATGTAATTTAAAACTGAAAAGATGACAAAATAATTTTCTAAAAATTTGGAAATAGTTTATTTTGTAAATAAAAAAAGCAAAAAATATAACCTACGTTTTCAGCTTTTGGTTTTGGATTTTACTTTTTTAGATTTGGTTTTTCGTTTTGCTTTACATTTTTTTTAAATCTGTAAATTATTTAAGAAAAATAAAACAATAAATTATTTAAAAGTTACCTTTAAAATTAATCAAGATAGAGTGATTGTTATTTAAAATAAAAATATTAACATGTTTTAAAGTACATGATTTAAATAAGTGATTAATAATAGATAATTTGTTTTGTTGAAAATATTAAATATCTTTGGGCTAAAAAATATTAACATGTTTTAAAGTACATGATTTAAATAAGTGATTAATATAGATAATTTTGTTTTCTTGAAAATATTAAATATTTTTGGGCCTGAAAATAGTAATTGATTTTTGATCCATTAAGGTGGAAGTTTATTTAATGTTTTTGGAGTTTTTCTTTAATACTAAACCCAAAAACCAAACAATTAAATGTCATAAAAACAAAAGTAGGCCTAAAACTCTATTACATAAATAACCGTCGGTTTAATTTAAGTAATGCGGTTCAATCAACTATATAACTTGTATTATTTGTAACACTCTAAAAAGGGTCCAAATTTAAATGACATATCAGTAGATAAAAAGAATGACTCTATTTTAATAGAGTAGATAGATTTCCTTTTCTAGCCATTTTGACCATTTTTCTCATCGGTTTATTGAAATTATGATTACAAAATATGAAGCTTCGTAAATTTCTTATAGGGAAACTGAAAAAAAATGTTTAGGAAAGTTTTCGAAAGTGTCATGGTTAATATTTTTAGTCCCATATTCTGTATGTTTAGAAAAAATAATATGTTAAATTTTTTTTTTCAAAAGAAAATATTTTTATTCCCATATTTTTATGTTTAGAAAAAACAATATGTTTAATATTTTTTTTCAGAAGAAAAAATTTGTAGTCCTATGTATATTAGAGCCTAAATATTAATCATCTATTGGTTTATAAGTTTATTTCGGTTTGGTTCAATGTATATATTACATCCGGTTTGTCCCGGTTAGCTGATTAGGACCAAGTGTATATAGTGACCATTTCGTCACACATTAATGTTAACAGAAATTCATTCCCATTTTTGGCTTCTTCTCTTTCTCTCTCATGTTTGTTACGCCATGAAAGCTTGAGAAGAATCTTCCATTTTCTGTTCATCTCTTTTACTATTATGGTATCAGAGCGTTGAGCACAGCTCAACTTCGTTCTCTCCATTTCTCTCCGATTCGATCGATCTAATTTTTTGGGGTTTCCTCCTCTGTTTCTCGTTCGATCGGCTACGTTTTCTGGGTTCTCTACTCCGATCGTTGATCTCGTTACGATGGTTGTTACTCTCCGTTCCCGTCGACGTTCTGGTCGCTTTACACGTGCTGGTAGTTCGAATCTCCCTCCTGGTAGCTCCACTTCTATTCCTGAAGCCGTTGCAGCTCCGTCTCTTGGTGATTCGTTAACTCGTGCCGCCGTGATGAACCCCGACAACGTTCATTCTCCGC